TATATATGTATATATATACACATATATATGCACATATAGATTGTTGTTAGGTGCTGTCGAGTCATTTCTGACTCATAGTGACCCTATGTACAACAGAAAGAAACACTGCCCGGTCCTGCACCATCCTCACAACCTTTGCTATATTTGAGCTCATTGTTGCAACACTGTCAACATACATAAGCACATACACAGATTGTATACATACGTACATATGTATATATATATGTGTATATATATATATATATATATATTTGTAGTGGTGATGAGTATCAAGAAGAAAAATAAAGCCACATCAGGGGAGAAAGAGTGTGATAAGTTAGGGGTACTGTTTTCTTATAAAGCACATTCTTGTGGGAAGAAGCAGAAAATACAGAGTAAATGCATAAGTAAAGTAACTTAAGATGGAGGATGGGCCACTTTAGATGGAGTGTTCAAGAAAGGCCTAGGGAAGTGACTTTTGGGATGAAACCTATATGATAAGAAGTAGCCAGACTTTGGAGGGTAGAATAGACAGAGGGACAAATTCCTCTATTTCTCAGCGTCTTTCAGTTGTCTCCCAAGCCTTGCATGATCTAGCCCCTTGGTACTTCATCTCCTTGAGCTCACTCTCTCTCTCTTTGCTGTCTGCACTCTAGCCACACTGGCTTGCTGGCAGTTTCTTAAGTACCAGACAGACTTCCTCTTAAGGCCTTGGCACTAGCTGTTCTTCCTGTCTGGTTGGCTCTTATCCCAGATACCCGTGCTTCCTTCCAGTTTAATTCTCGTATCTGCTCAAATGTCACTTTCTTAGCACTTCCTAGTCTGTCACTTCTTTTTCATATTACTTATAACTTCCAGGCATAATATGTATGCATTATTTCATGTATATATTACCTCTCTCTTCCCACTGGAATGTCATCTGCTCTTTGAAGTCAGTGACTTAGTTTTTGTTCAGTCCTTATCTCCTCACCCAGAAAGACAGTTGGCATATAGTAAACACTCAGTTGAAAAAGATTGCTTATTCATTCATTCAATAAATGCTGATTGACATAATTTCTGGAAAGATACACAGAATATACCTAGTTTCCTTTGGAGAAGGAGGACTGAGTTAGAAAATAGATCTAACTTCAGTTGTATACTGTTTTATAATATTAATGTTTTTAACCATGGAATATTAACTAGTTTTGTTCAATTTAAAGAAATTAGTTAGTAGATAAAAAAAGGCAAATAAAAATGAGTCTACTCATTCAAAATTTTGTTCAGTTAACCAACTCTGAGTTAGTGTAGACTGCTCCCTTTTTTTTTTTTTTTTTTTTGCAGCTAAACTCTGAAGATGCTGGGCTGTATCTAATAAGATAATACGGAGTTAAAGAAGGTATATTTTAATTTAAATTGCACAATCAGAGAAGGTGCAGAGTTTAATTTACTTGTCTGAAGTTAAAGAATTTCTGTAAAGAGGCTTAAAATTTGGATGCATACCATTTCTCTAAAAGGCAATTACATTTTTATTGGTTAATATTTTTCCTACCTGAAAAATCAATATATACATGTGGCCAAAAAATTCAAATAGTATAAGAAAGCTTACTGTGAAAATTAAATCTCTCA